GCCCCGCCACGCCGGCACAATTAGGGGTGAAATCTTGTAAACAGCTTATGCAGGGTTGTCTGGTGTGACGTTCGTGTGGTGGTGTTTTCCCAAGAGCAAGCGCACGCTTGCTGCGGGGGCCCTCTGCCTGCCATGGAAGAAGAGCGGACGCCGTAGGGCGGTCGTCTCCGAGAAGGGAGACGTCCACGTGGGGTGTCGTTGACCTTTTAAGTCTCCTTGCGTTAACCACATGCTGATCTACAGGTGGCCAGCTGATTCTCAAGTAGGCCAGCCGGTTTAGTTTTAGTCCAAGGCAGCCTAGATAAGCGTTCAAATTTACTCTTCCTTTCCGTAAAGATCCCTGCTCGTTTTAGAAGTTGCGTAGACTGCTTGTAAGAAATCGGATTCGGTCTGATCTGTCTGTACCTTTGCTTACTGTTTGAGGGATCAGTGCACCTGGCCTTGTCTTCTGTTTCTTGTTCCAACCTGAGAAGGCGGTCAACTAGGCGGATTTTCTTAGATGTTTAGGATTTTGCCTCCTGCTGCTGCTGTTTACTCAAATCTTTCAGTTCAGAAAAGGTGTAATGAATCTCCTCAGAGCTTGGTTACAAGTATTGCAATTACGCAGTTAAAGGATTAGGACAACTATGCAACAGAGAACTTGGGTGGAACGAAACCAGAAGAGTGCCCCCCCCCCCCCGGGAACTGAATTTGACACCCCGATCTAAATGAGATTGTAATAAAAATCTGGGCTTCATAAAGTGATTAAAAGCTACATTAAAACAAGTATAGAGCCTCCCAAGAACATAATGTTTATTTTTTTCCACCAGGAGCTTATTAGCAAAATGACTAATAAAACATTGCAGAGTTTTACTTGGCTTTTAATCCACCAGCCTTTTGAAAGAACTCAAAAACCTCAATCTGCTTGCATTCAATAGGAATTTATTTCCGTTCACAGAATTAGAGCTCGGCAATTTGAAAACGGTCCTCAGTGAACTGTGTGCTGTGAAGTACAGAGCGGCAGGTTGGACTTAAAAATGAAGTCGAGTTCCTCTCTTCTGTCAGACCCATTCAGCCCAAAGTATGTGGAACAAGCTAGACATTGCAATCTCAGAGGTCTAAACGGTTGACGTATTGAGTTAAATTTGATCAACCTTCTAGCCTGAGTTTTGATGTGTGATTTCTGACATCAGGAGGAGGTTGTCTGAATGTTAAATGACTAGTTGCAGGCTTCAGGCAGTTAAGAGGACGCAACTTATTGAATGTTCAACCTTGTATCCTGCTTTTCTTGATGTCTAGAAACTGTGTAAGGTTGGGCCTGCTCGGTCCTGGGGCGAACAGCCTCTGTGGACGATGATCAGGCTGCTGCTGGTAGTGGTGTTGGTGGATGAAGTGGCTCCCCCACCTATGTCTAAATTGCTGTACAAAACGCTGAGTCAGTTTTTATTACAAGCTGTCTGTAACAGTCCTTGAGGGCTGGGGAAATACTGGCTTTGCAGACAGACTTGATGAAGGTGTAAACAAATCATCAGGACTTTGAAGTCCAGGAGCACTGGGCTGTTTAGTTAAGTCTCTAAGATCAGGGGTGGAATGAAAATCAAGAGATTCCTACTGCCCTTGGGGACTGAATGCCTTACAGAAATCCTCCCCAGTTGTATGTGGTACATTGTTGCTTCACAGCGCTGGGATCCTGTGTTTAATTTGGGAACTGGGGTCTCATCTGTACGGAGTTTGCGTAGGTTTCCTCTGGGTGCTCCGATTTCCTCCCATAGTCCGAAGACATACTAGTAGGTTAATGGCCTTTTGTGGAAATTGGCACCAGTGTATGTGTGTGTACTGTGGTGGACTGGTGTCCCATCCAGGGTGTATCCTGCCTTATACCTGTTGCTTGATGGGATAGGCTCTGGCTCCCCCACAACCCTGTACTGGATGAAAGTGTTAGAACATGGCTGCATATGGCTATATGAGCAGGTATGTGGGTGTGTCTTTGGCTGTTCCTGAACGGCTCTGCACGTTCCACTTTGACTCTGGCTGCCATTAGGTGGCTGTGACTGGGAATGTCTCATTCATCCTGTGACGAATGCTGTTATCTCTGAGGAGCTGGAAAACATCCTCCTTATGTTCTCTTGTAAATGAGTGATTGTGGTTGGTGTCAGCGCGGACCTGGGAGGACAAGTTATTTCTTAATTCGCATTCCACTACATAATCTGTTCTCTGCTTTTTTTTATGTTACCTGTTTGTGGGCATTATGGCTCCAGATTGTGTTAAACTTGTTTAAATCTTCCTTCTGCTGTTGTAAAACCCTACATGGAAAATCTGTGACAACAGATCAGTGCGTAAAGGAGTGAATATAGTTGGATTAAGTATTCCCTTTCTGTAAAAGCTATGAATGCAGTGAAGTGCATTTGTATGGATTTACTGATTGAGGTTTGCCCGGATTGCCACTGTTTGTGCGAATTTAGTTACAGCTAGCAGGTTTAACGTGATGCTAATATGAAATGCACACAAACTGTTTGAGGTTCTGGGAGATAAGGGGTATAGTGATAACTCAGGGACCCCATATCGGTGGTAGCACAGCGGGGAGCATGAATGCCAACACTAATGGGACCTTGGTTTAATGTCGCTCCAAATGCTGCTCGTTGTGCCAAATCATGATGAGTGATTTCAGTTCTGATTTTATTTGCTGCAAAAAATATTTGTAGACTTTTCTATTTTGTATGCGATCTTTTGCCTTTCCTTTCTGGCACAAGCTTTTTAAAAAAAGCATGAAAGCTGTGGCGCGTCAAGGCTATAAACTGTCCAGCCTAAGATCGACTTGCGCTTGGGGGGGTAATTTGGGCAAAAATGTAGGACCTACAATTGGGCATGTGATCCTTACAAAGTATGATTCAGTAGTTGTAGCTGTTCTGGATGTTTGATTCCTTCTATCTGTTGTCTAAAATTTACCTATTTAACTAAACCCTGCATAATAGTTGCTATTTTATTTTGTGACACATCATGCAAAACACTCAATTAGGACAAATTTTTTGGTTCGCATCGTGTTGTAATGCCTTTTGAATTAAATTATACTGAGAATTATATCTCAGAAAGAAGCTTCTATTTCCTGCTCGTTCTTCAGGCAATGAGGATGCATTTAGTTGTTTGCATCTATTTCTTTCTTTTATAGAGGGTTTTTCGAAGGCTTAATTGGTGGCGAACTCTCCAAGAGGCGCTTCTTTTTCTGTCTGTACTGAAGGCAGAGAGACTTAAGAGAGTGGCTCCTCTAACCTGCCTCGGGTTTCCCAAGGGTGCAACAGCGTCTTCTCGTATCGAACCAGCTGGATCCTAATAAACAGGTCCTGGTGAATTCCGCCGCCGTCTCGGGCGCTCCACAGCGTCTGCGGTGGGAAAGCCCCTTGGTTTTGTGAGAAGGCAGGTTGGAGTTGTGGATTTCAGTGCACGTAGCTATTCAGAAGGGGATGCAAAGGGGGGGATTTTCATGACTGGTTATAGTGCAGCAACACCCCTGCCCCCGGGCATCTTGTCCAGGGAGTAAACTTTCTTCTGGCTCATGGGGTCCGCAGAGGTACTGACTTCATGTGGTTTCGACTGCTGGGGTGCAGACAACCCCATGGTTAGTCGTGTACATAAACTGCTGTGTGCAATAATAAACATTTTTTGTTTCGTATTATCGATACATAGGGAATGTACAGCAGTTTTGTACACAAAATCGGGTTCATTAATTTCCTAACCTACCAGCTTAGTCTGTAAGTGTTTTAGTGATACGTGATATAAGTTCTTATATGATCTTTAAGTCTGAAGATATCTCAGACGTTGCAGTAAATTCACTGATGTCAGAACTGGGGGGCCAGTACTTGTCTGTAACTACATTGCAGAGGGTTAGTGAAGTGAACATCTGCAAAAAGGTTTATGTATCAAATTGATTGTCTTTTCCTTGTACTTAAAAATAGATTCCCCTTGAGACTGTGCTACAGGTAAGTCAAATTACGGTTAGGCAGTTGCTGTAGCATGAAGATGATTATAGCTTTTCCAAAGTGTCAAGCATAGATTAAGAATACACTTAAAAGCCCAGAGGAAAACTGTGATCTGGTTTAGTGTTTCACAGCTGTAAGTGTATGTCTGCTGTTTCTCTATTCTCCTTATAGCAAACCTCTTTTTTTGTACCTTTAGAATGGCCAGGCGAGGAGAGGGGCCCATCTGAGTGTTGGCACTCAGAAGTGTGAAGGTTTTTAAGGAGTTGAGGGTTCATGACCTGGTTATACCACTGGTCGCATTCAATTTAACAACACAGCCAGCCTGGCCTGCTTTCATTTAACTGCATGGTAATCCGGGTTGGATGCTGTAACTGAAAGGTTATGTAATTTGGCAGCATTAAGTTTTTTTTCTGTTTGCAGGAATCAGCTGTTGATCTATTTATTGCACACTAAGGGTGGGGGGGAGGAGTCTCATGCTGAGAAAGTAGATGTCTTGTTTGCTCTCTTTTGGCTGCTCTGCCTAAATACCTTGCAGCTACCATTTGTGAATGTAAGAACAATGAATGGAACTGATTTATTGCCCTGTTATTTAGTAAAAAAGAAAATGTTGTCTTAAATCTGTTCCTGTTTATTTTAAATCCTTTATTTAACCAGTTTAGTCAACTGAGAAGTTCTGGTTTGCAGTGACCTGGAAAGTGCCCATTAATACAGCAGAGCATTTACTGGAACAACCAGAGTGCAGTACCTTTCTCGAGAGTCGCTGTGTCCTACCTGGGATTTGAACCCACAACCTGCTAGTTTGTCGTCCTGAGACCTCATGCTGATCCTCCACTTGGCTTCCCTGGAAAGGCCTAGCCCAATTCATGTAGAACTCGAGCATCAGCTTCTCTGGGTTGCTGGAAAAGCTTTGTTGCAAAACGCTCAGAACATGCCTTTGTCTAAACTTACCACGAATGTGAATTGAGTCGAACAATAAATTGCAGTTTATTCCACTTTAAAGGTCATTCCTGTTTAACTTTAATCTCCTCTGTTCTCTCTTTCCTTAAGATTGTGTGTATATTGAGAGCCGGCGTCCCAACACTCCCTACTTCATCTGCAGCATTCAAGATTTCAAACTGGTAAGTACCTTGTGCTGTGGTCTTGCCTTCATGATCAGTTTGGTTCTTATCAGGAGGTTTCAGAATTGTTTTGTACGTTCTGTGAAAGCGAGATCAAACAGATCTTTGATGCAGAATAATTTGCTGTGTAGTCGAGATGCCGGGCTGTGCTTGTGATGAAGGAAAGAAGTCTTTTTTTTTTTGCTTCCCCCCACTTCACAGTTCTTGCAGGAAACCAAAAAAGGTGAAAACGGTGAGGCAGTGGCCTCAGTTCAGAAGCTTGATAATTGTTTGTGAATAAATTAAAACGAGGGCGAAAAGCTTGATATAATTTATAACCCAGTCCTGAAAAAAAATATTTATCTTAGAAGGTGGGGGGGTAAATCCTCTCTCCTTTTTCGAAAGCAGCTGCGTGGAAGTGTTAGAAATTCACTACATGGAAACGATAGCGCACAATCGTGCCCCGTTGAAGTGGGCCACTCCTTTACTGCGTCTGTTTAACCTTTAGCAAATGTAGCGCACATTAGTTACAGCCGTCAGCCTTGCCTGTGAGAACAGCTGACAGTTCCCTCTATTATTACAGGGGTTGAAATAAGTGGTTATGAGCTGTGCCGTGCTTCGCACATTGCCAAGGAAGAGAACGGCCTGAAACACAAGGATTTCACTGGTTTCAGAGTTAATGGAACGATATATATTACATTGCTTTCACACCTTGTGGTTTTATGTTAAATGCTGAGGAATGAGTTTTAAGGAAAGAAATGTATATATCGGCGGAGCAGGCCCATTAATCAGAGATTTCCGTCCCCCCCCCCCCGTCTCCCACCTCGTTACCGTTTGTGCTTAACTTGAATCCTACCTCTGCGTTAAATACAAGCTTGGGAAGAAAACGATAAATGTTCATAGGCTTAAAAACAACAGTAGGGAACAGGATCGATTTTTTTTTTTTTCCTGATGCAGAGTATAAAGTTTATCATGGTTTACTTGTTCGTAGAAGACCGTTTAAGAACATTTGTACACAGAAATGAAGCACCGTGAAAGGTTGCATTGAATCCCATGCATATAAATAGCCCTTAGGCTGCAGCCAGAGCATGTGTAACAAGCCCTTCTTTTACTTTTTTTATTTTTCTTTCCCTGGAAGCTGGGCTCTGTCCGTTACAGGACGGTGCCGTGTAAATGCACTCTCGAATTAGGATGCGTTTTTTGTCAATTCACGGGGATATCACAGCGGAATAATCACATCTTAATATCGGCCCTATGTACATTTCTGCTGAGAGATAAAGGTGATTATAAACTCATTAATCAGTAAATTGGGACTGAAGTGCACATATAAATCCACACTCTTAACGTGGCAGACCACCCACTGGGACAGCCTTAATGGCAGAGGACATTAAGAGTTATAATCTCAGGTCACAAGGCAAAAGATGCAGGCTGTGTTATGAACTACATAGTGCATTAGAGAGGCGCAGCTGTGTTACAGTTGGGAAAGCAGCTCTGTAACGCTAATCGGATTGCTGGAAAGAATGCTGAGGATGGCAGGAACGTATGATCAGTTGGCTCGGCCTGCCAATAAAAACATATAGTATTGTGTGCTAATCCGCTCGTTGATTAAGTGTGGTTTAAGGGCCTGTGTGCAGCAGTGTAGAATTGCTGGAGAAAACCAGGGATCCGTTATAAGATCTCTTTTTTTATCCATCTGTAATTAATGGACATCCGACAGAATTATTTGTGCATAAGCAGTGGCTTCATGAGTGCTGTGTGCAGTGTAGTATACAGTTACATGGCTGCTGGATGCACTTCTGTTCCTTAATACACGCTTTGTTTTATCGCAAGGCCTGCAAAATGACTTACTCTTTGCAGGGCCGATCGTGCTGTTAGTTAGATTGTCTTCAGCTACCAGCAGGAGTGGCAGAGCAGGGGGCCCCCGGTGGTGACCTCTGACCTCGGCTGTCACTCATCTTCCATAATTAGACAGCAAACATTTGTCCAAGCGAGTGGGACAATGTCGGGCGCGTCTGACTGCTGATGGTGTGTGGCGGTCTGTGGAGAGCGGAATGGGTCCCTTCCTCTCCGGTTAAGAACTGATTGTTTCAATCGCTTAAAAAAATGGAATGAAACAGCTCTTACTGAGTCGTCGGTATTGTCTACAGAGTGTTGCTCATGGGTTCTGAGACAGAGGGTGACTTTTAAGGTATGGCTGCAGTTTCAAAAGCTTTTTGTGGCAATAATGCGTTTCGGGGAGCTTCAGCAGGAGAAGCATTTTCTAGTAGTCTGCGAGTTTGTGTAAGTGACTTCATTTTAGCATTGCTGTTTGTGTGAATGTTTATTTTTTTGCTTGTTTAAGGTTCCAGGTATTAGTCAGATAAATAGTGTCGGTTATGCAGCAATTCCACGGCTCGTCTCTGCAGTATTCTTGTAGTGTGTAGTCTTTCTCCCCTTCAGTGCAGCTCTGTGGGAGCTTGGCTTGCTGGCACTGGAGGTGCTCTCTGCATCTACAACAGGGCTGGTGCAGTAAGCTCTGTGCCGAGGTGTCTGTGATGAGACAGACTGCTCACCGCAGGGTGTTACATTCAGGGCTGAGGAGGTCGGACACCTTGTGCGCGTGTTTGGTCTGGAACATGGAGAGCATCCTGACCGGTGCGGCCGCCGTCTGGAGCAGCAGACCACACCGCTGTACTCCTGTGACCCAGTGCCACTTCCTCCCTGCCTGTTGGCTGTAATGATGCTGCTTCTTATGCAGAGCTCCCTCTCAGCAAACAGCCACGCTGCGATCATAATCACTCCTGAAGCTTGCAAGCTAGGAGTGGAAATCAACTGCTTAAAGCTTCCAAAAACTTAAACGTGTCCACGTTATCCAAGAAGTAGTAATTTGGTGCGTGACACGAACCCGTCTGTTCTTTTAAACCCTTCCCGCAGTCAGGGATGATGTGCGCGTGATTGATGTGCTTGCGATTAAGGCCTCCCGTTTCGAACTGAAGTTAACAAACCGAGTTGAGCATATTCTCAATAAATATTGCAACAGTCTCCTCCGGCTAGAAACGCATATTGATTTCAAGGCAGCCTGCGCCCATTAGGATATGTACATCCTGGCTTATGTCCATTATGTGTCTTTTGATATTCATAAAATTTAACTGCTGCGTTGTACATTTTTTTTAAAAAGCCTCCCGAAGGCCTGTATGTAATGTAAGCTAGCGTGCTCAGCCTGTCCGATTGCTTTCACTCAAGTTTTTCTTTTTAACCTGCTCTCTGTGTGTGACCTGGCCTCTTTGGAATGAAGGAACACCTTTTGTCCGATGAAGCAAGATCTGCGCCTCGCAGCCGGCCGATGTCAGTGGCGGCGCAGTGACATGCTGTCAGTCTCCACAAGACGATACAGTGCAGGGAGGCTGTCGTCACCCGTCCCCTGTTCGTTTTCATGACCCCCTTCGCTCCAGCCCTGCTGTTTGTGAGCCCTAGGAGTAGGTCAAGCTCCTGTCAGTTTGAGGCCTGTCCCCCCCCTCCAACCCCCAGTCTTTTTGTTTTTCTCCGATCTTTCCCTGTGGCCAAACTCATTTGCAGATATTGGCTGCATCAGCTGCTGGATGGCTTTTCCACTAATGGGGTGATTGCTGCTTTCTCTGGGGGCTCTCGCCAGAGAGAAGGGCACCTCGCTCTTCCTGGGATTTTCGCTTATGGACATTTAATTAGGTGTGATGTACAATACACTTGTCTTCAAGGATTCAGATTCCCAAATGCTGGAAATAGTGGTGGAAGAGAAGAGGGAGGGAACAAGGGAGTGAATGTAGTGTTGATTTCTTTTTCTTAAATCTCTGGCAAAGGTAATTGTCTGAAGTCTTTGGGTTGCTTGTGAAGCAGATCACATCAGTACTAACGAAAGGTGAGAATTCAGGCGTCTTAATTCAACATTAAACCCAAGAGAATCAGATGTTTGCATCATAAATATGTAAGTAATCAGTATTCTTACATATCCAGCTCTGTTTGGGTTGTCTTAGTGTGCACTCTATCTTTGTCAATAGCCAGACAAACTGTGTGGTTAATATCGTATTTGGTATTTTCAAGCAATCATTTCCCCTTTGAGTGATATTTCTTTAAGGTGAAGCACAGTGAAACCAACAATAAAACAAGTCACATTATCCATATCCCAAACTACACATCCTGAGGCCTTCTACAGAAATGGCTGGTGGAATTTAAAACTAAAAAAGATTTTTGTGCCAGTGTTATTTAGAAGAGTAGTTAAAAGAAGTCCAGACTAAAATGTGTCCCTCTTTTATGCCTGAAATGGAAATGCACTTATGCACGGTTTTACCATAATGTGTTGCAGTGCTTATCATGAAGCCTTCATAAGCTAATGATTCAAAACTTTAATTAAAAACTGTGTGATAAAGATGCAAATAAATTTGCATTAATGTGTGACCTAACAAAAGTTTATTTAAATAGGATTCTCAGCTGCACACTGCGTGTGGCAGGGAATCAGTTATGCAAAAACCAGGCTGAGCCGCTAAACGCACCTTTCTCAAAGGGTGCTTTTTCAGTTTTTAGATTGAACAGTTTTCTTGTTATCAGTTTTCAAGGGCTTGGCACCTGGGATTAAGTTCCTGCCTGTCTGTAAATTGAGCATGCAACCTTTTGTCGACATATCCAAATAGAGATGATTCTAAGACTTATAACATTGGTCTAGTGCACTCTCCTAAGTACTGATGTGCAATACCTGGATCAGATGTACGTATTACCAGTTGCAGTTCCTGATGTTATTTAGTGAGCCAGGTTGTTGCTGCTGCTTAGAAAGAGAAGGTTTTGTCATCTTTTGACATTTCTCCCCTTAAAGCTCCAAGAGCCAGTTGCACAAGTGAAAATTTGTGATGAGATGATATAGATGACTATATACTGCTCAGGAGCTCTGTGAGCAAGCTGGAGAAAATGAACCTTTTAATACTGGAAATGGTGCTTTTTTTCCAGCCTGCAATATCAAAGGAAAATAAAAGTATGGTTTGTGATTCAGATGCCCTTCTGAGCCTGCATGTTTA